TTTTTTTAATTTTTTAACTCCTTCTCCAATTTTCACTTTCATCCCCAGCCCCCCAAACAGTGCACACCCTCCTACAATCCCCCCAACCAGCTCCTCACTCCCCAAAAGTTGTGTATCCAAAAACCTCCCAAAACCCGGGCCAAAAACTGCCCCTCATTACCCCTCCCATTTTCCCCTATATTTTTTCCCCCCTCCTATAAAAGGGGTTCTGTACACATGCAAACAATATTTTAAAACTTGGAATCTCCCCCAAAGACCCACCCCCATGTTGACTGCCTCCCCCCCATGCCCCCCGTTCTCTAGCTCCCCCATACAATGTTTCCACCAACCACACGATTTCCTCCCTGAATCCCTGTCTGATGAGAATATTCTGCAACACTTCCTGTCCCACCCTGTGTGAAGACTTACTCAGCCCTGTAACAACTTCAGTCAGTATTACTAAGGCTGGCTCCTCCTCAGGAAAATTAATGCATAGAAAAAGAACAAAAACTGACAAACATAAACACTTTATTATTTAGAAAATATAAAATATAAAACACTTAAATATGAAATATTGATCCTACATTAAAGAAAATGAAAAATGAAAAATATAAATGATATCTGAATTCAACGCTAATATATATATATACATAAAACTTGGGTGTCTGGTGTTGGTGACACTGCGTGTTGTTGAAATCGTAGCTGTTGCTGATGATTGGGGGGGATTGGCAGGTATTGGTGACAACCCACCGGCTCGTTCTTCACAGAGTCTATAGCCGTAAAATAATCTATCCAGATGACAGGAAAGCAGGTTCTTTACCGCTGTAATGATGAGGGGTTACGTCCTGCAACTTCATACAAGTGCACAGGTAAGTAGATAAACCATGGGACGTCTCAGGACATTAGTCCGTCTCCTTCAATTCTACTCGTTGATTGGCAGGTGACCCATTCTGTCATTCCAAGCTGGAAAGAGAGACAGGTTACCCACTGCTTAAGAAATCACTCTCCATGATAAGTACAATACCTAAAAGACGTGGTGATTATTAAGACATTTAACAGATCAAGACTGAAAGGACTAAGTTTATTATTGGTCAAAATTGAAGCTTTCAACCAATAAGTCTACTAAAATATGGGCAGGCATGTACTTACAGTAGTGCTGGGAGCTGTGAGTCGAGTGATTACTGTTTGGCCGGAGCCCCACACGTCACCTTTCGGGGGGGGAAGAGGGAGGGGAAGGGATAGCAGGAGCTAAACTGACCCTACCTTAACAAGCAGCCGGCAATCAAACTATCACTTTCGGGGAGGGGGAAAGAAGGGGGGAATAGCAGAAGCTAGACTTACCCTACCTTAACAAGTAGCCGGCAATCAAACTATTGTTACTATATACTCCCTCGCTACTCCAATCTATTGAACTTTTTCCTCACACCCTGTCATATGCCCCCTGCCAATCCAATGCCAACAACCCCACCTCCACTCCCCCCTCCATTTCTTCCACGAAACCCTTAATGATCCTGTGTCCCGTGACCATTGACCTACCCGGCAACCCATATTGAGACTCGGACACCACCCTCCCCACAACACATTTAAGCCTGTTCCCCAGAACTTTTGCAAACAACTTGTAATCAGCACACAGCAACAAAATGGCTCGGTAATCCTTAAGGATACTCTACTGCTTTCCCTTCGAGACCAACACCACCATTGCCATTGCCTGCATTTCTCCCATCTTACCTCTTTCTTTCATCGCATTCACTAACTGAGCCAGAAATCCCCTCAGCAGCCCCCGAGTGCTGCACACAAAATTCACATGGTAAACTACCAGTCCCCAGTGTCTTTCCCTTACTCATATCCATTAGTGCTCTCAATATTTCCTCCTCTTCAATGACCCCCCCAGCACTGCTTGATCACTCCTCCCCAGTTTACATGGTTCATATCCACGCACTCGCATTACAACGCTCCCCTTCCACCCAATGACTTTTCCAATACCCCTCATACCATCTATCTGCATAAGCACTCATCCCCTTTGTGTCCCTTAATACCTGACCCTCTTGATATCCCCCCACCGAAGAAGTGACTTCTAAGCCAGGGATTGCAGTCACATCCTGTCGCAGCTTCTGGTCTTGCAGTATGCATGCTGACAGCCTTTCCCCCCCATAAAACCTCGTCCATCCCTGCCTGCACCAGCACTGCTGCAGAACACTCCTCCTGCAACTCCCTTATCCTCCTCTTCAACATTTATATGTCCTCTACTGGATAATTCCCCGCCACTGCCCCTCCTGCATAACACCCCCGTAATCTGTCTTCTAAGTAAGTGGTTAGGCCAAACCGCAACTGATTAATTTGCTTCCCCTCACGCAAGTAAAATTTATGGATCCTTGCTCTTGCCACACTATCCCACCATCCCACCACAGCCTCCACATTCCTCCCCTCTGTGCGAAGCACCAACGTCACCCACCCACCTCCACCATTACTGCCCTATGATCAGAATACGCTATCTCAATGGTCGTAAGTAACTCGACCATTACCCTCTGCATTAGATATATTCTGCCCAACTGTGCTGCATATCCCCTCCATACAAAAGTATGCACCACCTCCCACATACCTCCCCCAAACACACCCCTTAAATAGATATCCCTAAAAAGTCCCCTAATACTGTAGAAAAATACCCCACCCCCCTGGGTTCCACAACTGCCCTCTTGATAACATAACTTCAATCCCCCCAATCAATCACCATGGACGGTAACATGTGTAGGAAGTACACTAGTTCCTCACGCATGAAAGCCGTCTTCACTTTTGCATCACTTTTAGCTGGGGCATATACACATACAAATGCTACTCTCTCACCCACCCACCATCGTTCCACATGCATTACCCGCCCCCCCCCTCCCCCCCGCCCCCTTCAGTCCTATGCAAAACAAATGGGCTCGCCTCCCTGATCAAACACCCCCACTCCCCTTTTCAACCGATCAAACGGCAGCACAAATGCCTGTTAACCTGTCACCACTAACTCTCGACCAATCTTGAAGTTGTGTTCCTGTACAAAAACTACATCTGTGTTATATCTGTTCAAAAATATTCTAAACCACTCTCGTTTCATGCCATCACACAATCCATTTATATTTATAGTTACACACCTGAGGCCATCTTAAGGTTTCCATTCCTGCCACCTCTCAACACTCTTCCCAGTCTGATCAGTCACTTGGGCACTACCTTTGCCACTCTCACCACACTCCCCGCCCCCACCTACTGGTGCTGCCCTCCCTGAGTGTCACCTCACTTCCCATATACCCATGTCTTCTTTCCTGTTCTTTGCGCCGGTGTCAGAACCTCCTCCATGTCAGTGTCCTGAGAGGCCACACGATGGACTTCCACTTCCACCTTCCTGTATTCCATCCCACGTTCTGCTGTGGCATCCGCACAATCCTTTGCAGGCGCCACATGATCCTCCCGCCTCTCACACGCCACTTCCCCCACCTCATCCCCACCCACCTTCTCTATGTGACCCTCCTCATTAGTCTGTAACATAGCCCTCAACACCGTTGCTGGATCCACCTCTATAGCTGTCACCTCGGCACTCACTTTCACCTCCTCGATCATCGTTGGCGCTGTTGTTGGGCTGGTTAACCCTTGGGGCTTCATTCCCTCCCCCATTTCCATGGGTGTAACCTCCACCTCCTCACTCCATTTACAACAATGCCCTCCACCTTGCCTTCAGTCTTCCTCAGTCATCTGGCACTCATGAGCAGGCCTGCTCCCCCTCCTGCTGGCCCAGGCACCCGTTTCTGCTTCCCGTACTCTGCCACCATATGTTCATATGCCGCGCACAGATGGCACATATGCCTCTGCCCAGCATACACCACCATTACCTGAGTTTTAAACTCTTCAAGGTAGATGTATGTGGGTATAGGATGTCTCAATGTCATTCTGAGTGTAAAGGTGCCTTCCAGTAGTCCCGTGTAGGCCCCTGTCACCCACTTTCCTGGTTGGGCCATATGAACAGCCCCATATTTGTCGAATACACATCGGATGTCTGCTTCGTCCATTTCAAATGACAAGTTACATAGCTTGACCCATGTGTAATGCTGCGACACATCTGTCATCTTGACCCCTCACTGCTGGCTTCAGGCCAACACAGACATCTTGGAAACGAGCCACCAATGACTCGTACACTGGAGCAGATAGCAAATTCACAAACAGTCTATATGCTCCATTCATTGCCACTCCATATAATTCGTTGTCCTTTATTCCATATACCTCATGTATAATCGCTGGTAGTAACACCTGGGCTGACATAGACGTTATTGCTGGACGGAGGAGCTCAATGTTTACTCAGCGCCTCACACCTAGCACCATTTTGTCTCTGCATAGCTCGCTTGGGTGAACAGTAGAAGGGTGCAAAGCACCACTGCTCTCCACCACATCCAGGCAGCGAATTGTCTACTTATCTATATGTTATGCAAGGGTCGAGTTTTAGCTCCTGGCTCTGCCTCTCAACTTGCTGCTGGCCAGATTCACTCTTTCTTAACACTATGTATGAAGTCTGCCTCCACCAAGTCTTCATCTAGGTCATTCCACTTCCCAACCTCCCTGAGACTGAAGAAATGCTTCCTGACATCGCTGCGACTCTCATCTATGTTTTTAGCTTCCATCTATAACCCAAGTACCTGTTTCCCGCTCGTCATCAAACATGTATGTGGATATATGGGTTTGTTAGGCATAGAGCCGTCAATTGAACAAGAGTCATTAGGACTGCACGATACGTGTGTGTGTGTGTGAGTGTGTGTGTGTGTGTGTGTGTATGTGTGTGTGTGTGTGTGTGTGTACGTGCGTGCACACACGCTGCCTTATTTAGAGCTAAGATTAAACATAATTTATTTACAAATTATAATAAAACAATAATGTACTCTCCTTCAACCTTACATTTCAATAGTTCATTTTATGAAGAACATTAAAGTAATTTTTAGCTATCCAATAACTCCAGCAGTTTTACTAGTTTTATTTAATAAATATTTTGGTGTTGTCAGGATCATCCTGCCCTCCACTGGAAGATGGAGTCATGCGGGTTTACAGCATGAAGTATTGCCCTTATGCCCAGCGAACACATCTTGTTCTTGCTGCCAAGAACATTAAGTAAGCACTGTTATGTTCATTGTATTATTATCAGCAAAACAAATTTATTTAACTTTAAGTATATAACACTGAAGTTCAAATGTTTTTTTCTTCCTTTGATCTCTATTTTAAATTGTTACTTAACCAACTTGCAACATCAACTTGCAACATCAACTTGCAACATCAACTTGCAACATCAACTTGCAACATCAGCTTGCACCATCAACTTGCAACATCAACTTGCAACATCAGCTTGCACCATCAACTTGCAACATCAACTTGCAACATCAACTTGCAACATCAACTTGCAACATCAACTTGGAACATCAACTTGCACCATCAACTTGCAACATCAACTTGCACCATCAACTTGTAACATCAACTTGCACCATCAACTTGCAACATCAACTTGCAACATCAACTTGCAACCTCAACCTGCAACATCAACTTGCAGCACCAACTTGCAACATCAACTTGCAACATCAACTTGCAACCTCAACTTGCAACCTCAACTTGCAACCTCAACTTGCAACATCAACTTGCAACCTCAACTTGCAACATCAACTTGCAACATCAACTTGCAACCTCAACTTGCAACATCAACTTGCAACCTCAACTTGCAACATCAACTTGCAACCTTAACTTGCAACATCAACTTGCAACATCAACTTGCAACATCAACTTGCAACCTTAACTTGCAACATCAACTTGCAACCTCAACTTGCAACATCAACTTGCAACCTCAACTTGCAACCTCAACTTGCAACATCAACTTGCAACCTTAACTTGCAACATCAACTTGCAACCTTAACTTGCAACCTTAACTTGCAACATCAACTTGCAACATCAACTTGCAACCTCAACTTGCAACATCAACTTGCAACCTTAGCTTGCAACATCAGCTTGCAACATCAACTTGCAACATCAACTTGCAACCTTAACTTGCAACATCAACTTGCAACATCAACTTGCAACATCAACTTGCAACATCAACTTGCAACATCAACTTGCAACCTTTTAAATTGCAACCTTAACTTGCAACATCAACTTGCAACATCAACTTGCAACTTAACTTGCAACATCAACTTGCAACACAACTTGCAACATCAAACTTGGGAACATCAACTTTGCAACATCAACTGCAACCTTAACTTGCAACATCAACTTGCAACATCAACTTGCAACCTTAACTTGCAACATCAACTTGCAACATTAACTTGCAACATCAACTTGCAACATCAACTTGCAACCTTAACTTGCAACCTTAACTTGCAACCTTAACTTGCAACATCAACTTGCAACATCAACTTGCAACATCAACTTGCAACATCAACTTGCAACCTTAACTTGCAACATCAACTTGCAACATCAACTTGCAACCTTAACTTGCAACATCAACTTGCAACATCAACTTGCAACATCAACTTGCAACATCAAATTGCAACATCAACTTGCAACCTTAACTTGCAACATCAACTTGCAACATCAACTTGCAACATCAACTTGCAACCTTAACTTGCAACATCAACTTGCAACATCAACTTGCAACATCAACTTGCAACCTCAACTCACTTGATACTAAGATACAATAATGAGTTTCAGAGGAATTAGTTTATGATGATTTTGTATCTGAGATAACTAGTTATAAAATACATCAAGATTTCCATTATATGCAAAATAGGAATAATGCTGAAGAAGTTTACCTGGAGTTTACCTGGAGAGATTTCCGGGGGTCAACGCCCCCGCGGCCCGGTCTGTGACCAGGTCTCATGGTGGATCAGAGCCTGATCAACCAGGTTGTTACTGCTGGCTGCGCACAATCCAATGTACGAGCCACAGCCCGGCTGGTTAGGTACCGACTTTAGGTGCTTGTCCAGTGCCAGCTTGAAGACTGCCAGGGGTCTGTTGGTAATCCCCCTTATGTATTGTGGGAGGCAGTTGAACAGTCTTGGACCCCTGACACTTATTGTATGGTCTCTTAACGTGCTAGTGACACACCTGCTTTTCATTGAGGGGATGTTGCATCGTCTGCCAAGTCTTTTGCTTTCGTAGTGAGTGATTTTCGTGTACAAGTTCGGTACTAGTCCCTCTAGGATTTTTCAGGTGTATATAATCATGTATCTCTCCCGCCTGCGTTCCAGGGAGTACAGGTTCAGGAACTTCAAGCGCTCCCAGTAATTGAGGTGTTTTATCTCCGTCATGCGCGCCGTGAAGGTTCTCTGTACAATTTCTAGGTCAGCAATTTCACCTGCCTTGAAAGGTGCTGTTAGTGTGCAGCAATATTCCAGCCTAGATAGAACAAGCGACCTGAAGAGTGTCATCATGGGCTTGGCATCCCTAGTTTTGAAGGTTCTCATTATCCATCCTGTCATTTTTCTAGCAGATGCGATTGATACAATGTTATGGTCCTTGAAGGTGAGATCCTCCCACAGGTCTTTGAGGTTGGTTTCTCGCTCTATTTTGTGGCTGGAATTTGTTTTGAATTTTGATGAAGGTTTGATTTCCTCATGTTTACCGTATTGGGGTAATTGAAATTTCTCATCGTTGAACTTCATATTGTTTTCTGCAGCCCATTGAAAGATTTGGTTGATGTTCGCCTGGAGCCTTGCAGTTTCTGCAATGGAAGACACTGTCATGCAGATTCGGGTGTCATCTGCAAAGGAAGACACGGTGCTGTGGCTGACATCCTTGTCTATGTCAGATATGAGGATGAGAAACAAGATGAGAGCGAGTACTGTGCATTGCGGAACAGAGCTTTTCACCGTAGCCACCTCAGACTTTACTCTATTGACTACTACTCTTTGTGTTCTGTTTGTGAGGAAATTATAGATCCATCTACCAACTTTTCCTGTTATTCCTTTAGCACGCATTTTGTGCGCTATTACGCCATGTCACACTCGTCGAAGGCTTTCGCCAAGTCTGTATATATTATATCTGCATTCTTTTTGTCTTCTAGTGCATCTAGGACCTTGTCGTAGTGATCCAGTAGTTGGGACAGACAGGAGCGACCTGTTCTAAACCCATGTTGCCCTGGGTTGTGTAACTGATGGGTATCTAGATGGGTGACGATCTTGCTTCATAGGACCCTTTCAAAGATTTTCATGGTATGGGATGTTAGTGCTATCGGTCTATAGTTCTTTGCTATTGTTTTACTGCCCCCTTTGTGGAGTGGGGCTATGTCTGTTATTTTTAGTAACTGAGGGACGACCCCCGTGTCCATGCTCCCTCTCCATAGGATGGTAAAAGCACGTGATAGGGGCTACTTGCAGTTCTTGATGAAGACGGAGCTCCCAAACCATACCCCCGGCCGGGATTGAACCCGCGGTCATAGAGTCTCAAAACTCCAGCCCGTCGCGTTAGCCACTAGACCAGCTAGCCACAAAAAGATTCATCCAACTAGGTATATTTCTACACCATAGGAAGGTTAGCACAGGCACCTCTGTGACCACAAATGCAAGTTTTTACAGACGAATCTCCAGCTAGCGTGGCCGTGACGAACTCTAGCTCAAGTCCCTTCACTGCCGTCAACATGACTTAAGAAATCGTAATGACACGATTGCAAATAAACCATACCCCCGGCCGGGATTGAACCCGCGGTCATAGAGTCTCAAAACTCCAGCCCGTCGCGTTAGCCACTAGACCAGCTAGCCACAAAAAGATTCATCCAACTAGGTATATTTCTACACCATAGGAAGGTTAGCACAGGCACCTCTGTGACAACAAATGCTAGTTTTTACAGACGAATCTCCAGGGTATGGTTTATTTGCAATCGTGTCATTACGATTTCTTAAGTCATGTTGACGGCAGTGAAGGGACTTGAGCTAGAGTTCGTCACGGCCACGCTAGCTGGAGATTCGTCTGTAAAAACTTGCATTTGTGGTCACAGAGGTGCCTGTGCTAACCTTCCTATGGTGTAGAAATATACCTAGTTGGATGAATCTTTTTGTGGCTAGCTGGTCTAGTGGCTAACGCGACGGGCTGGAGTTTTGAGACTCTATGACCGCGGGTTCAATCCCGGCCGGGGGTATGGTTTATTTGCAATCGTGTCATTACGATTTCTTAAGTCAAGACGGAGCTCCATGAGTCTGGCCCTGGGACAGAGTGCATGGGCATGTCATTTATCGCCTGTTCGAAGTCATTTGGCGTCAGGATAACACCAGATAGGCTTGTGTTTACCAAATTATGTGGCTCTCTCAATTCAAGTTCAATTCAATTCAAGTTTATTCTCTATTAGGGTTACAATGTGGGGTTTACAGGTTTTGGGTATTGTGTGGTTTACTTGTTATAAAATACTAATTACAGAGGGGGCCACTAGGACACCTAGCCTTGCTTGGCATTTCGAGCAGACTTAGATTAATTCTTAACATTAAATCCTTACAGATTATGGTATTAAGGCTTAGTGACTGCATCATAATTTGTGAGTTTAACAATGTGAATGCTTTTGTTTTGGCGCAATACAAAGTGTCTATATTGGAGTATCATAGGCAAACTTATGACTAGTTAGGATTTATTGTTTTAAGATTAAGATTAGTATTTCTGGGTTTATAGTCAGTGGGTGAGTGAGTGTAATTGTGAACCATCAGGTGGTTATCATGTAGTTAGTTGTCGGGGTGAATCAGGGAGATAAGATGTTTTCTAACTGTAGTTTTGAAAGTGATGAATGTGTCTGCAGTTCTAGAGTTTTCAGGTAGTGTGTTCCAGAGTTTAGGTCCTTTGAAATACATTGAATTTTTGTAAAGGTTTAGTCGAACACGGGGAATGTCATAGAGATGTTTGTGTCTGGTGTTATGCCTGTGGATCCTGTCACAACTATCAAGAAAGCATTTTAGGTCAAGGTTAATATTGGAATTTAAGGTCCTGTAGATATAGATTGCACAGTAGTAAGTATGGATGTTCTGAACAGGGAATAAGTTTAGATCTATGAAGAGTGAGGGTGGGGGTGTTGCCAGGGATGGGATTTAGTGATTATTCTTACTGCGGCTTTTTGTTGGGTTATTATTGGCTTTAGGTGTGTTGCTGCA